GAAGGGGGCTATGGGGGAAGATGCAGTGGTGGGTGGGTAAACTGCAGGGAGGGGTGTGGCATGATGTCATGCCCAAGAGAGGGGATCCCCCATCAAGGGGGGTGGTGGTTGAGTTCACACTCCTGGACTGTAGAGGGGGGTGGGGGTGTCAATGTAAGACTGGGGGTGCATCTGCACTGCAAGGCTTAACTTGAAATGTTATGCAATTTGAGCTACGTCAGTTGCATAGCTTATTTCGAAATAGGGAACAGGGGTGTGGCATGATGTCATGCCCAAGAGAGGGGATCCCCCATCAAGGGGGGTGGTGGTTGAGTTCACACTCCTGGACTGTAGAGGGGGGTGGGGGTGTCAATGTAAGACTGGGGGTGCATCTGCACTGCAAGGCTTAACTTGAAATGTTATGCAATTTGAGCTACGTCAGTTGCATAGCTTATTTCGAAATAGGGAACCTCTGCACAGCAATTATAGAGCAGTCTACCTCCAACTTCCCTTATTCCTCCTATGGTGAGGGTTACAAGGGTCAGAGTATGAAGTCCTCCAGCTTGACAGTATTTTGACACTATTTCAAAATAGCTGCCTGCAGTGTAGACACAGACTAAGTCCTTTCAGAATAGCGCTAGTTACTTAGTCTTGCAGTGTAGATGTATCCTGGGGAAGGATGATGGGGTAGTAGTGGAAACATTCAGCACTGTGTAATGCAATCTGGATCCTACTCCTGTGGCTGCTGTGAATGAGTTTGGGTTTTGGGCTGTTTGTGTGAGCTAATATGACCCAGTGCCAGTTGTGTTATGTGCAGTGTGTGTCTTTTGGTCCTGTCTGGCTATCTGACTTGTGATGAGAACCATTCACTTTTACTCTGTTGGGAACTTTGCTCATTTTCCTGAACGACACTTACTCACAGCTTGTTTTGTTGAAGATCTGAAATGTTACCTGAAAAAGGTGGATTGGTTCTTTGGGGTTCTGCAGTTTCTATCCAGGAGCAGAAGTAAAACTGCTTAAAACATTATGACAGAGCTCATCTTTGTAGTATTTATACCCGGGCCTGAATTGCGAGGGCATTTCCATTCCAATGTGGTAGACTAAAGGTCAGGAAAATGTCAAATTAATATACACACTTTCAGATGCTTCCTAACCTCACATCTTATCTTTTGAGGTCCGTTCTGTCCATACATCAGTGCTGATTGGCTGTCTGTATAGGAGGAAACTTTTTATATAAATATACCTATTGTTGTTACTCATCAGGTCCAATGTGCATATTAGTAACTGGTCGTATTTACATGCTTTAGTAGGATTATGCAACACACTTGAAGCATTGGCTGTCATAGGGCCTTGTATACAATAAGGCCTAATCTACACTAACCCTTGCTGTTGATCTAAACTTCAGCTATACCAGGGTGGGCCTCAGGAAGAAGGGGCAGGGCCAGGATACTTCCCTGCTTTCCCACCCGCAGACTGTGCTTGGTCTGGTGGTGGAGGAATGCACAAAATCTTTGCCCACCCTAGAGGTTCCCCCTAGGTGCCCATGCCCCTGGTGGTGGGCGGAGACTGCATGCTCCCCCTTCTGCCCCCAGGCCAATCTGGGCTTGGGGGTGGGGGAGCACATGAAGTCTCCTCCTGCCTTGCCAGGAGTGCTGGTACTTCTAAGGGCCGTGCACTTCTTGCAGGGTGGAGGAAAATCCGTGCATTTCCTCCCACCTCCAGGCCCTGATTGCCTGCCTGGGGGCAGGGGAGCGACAGGGCCTCCACGGGCTATATCAACCCACTTGGTGGGCTAGATCCGACCCATGGAGGCCCTTTTGCCCACCCCTGAGCTAAGCAAATAGCTACTCTTTTCATCCTGGTGGAGTATCAGCATTGACAGGAGAGCATTCAGATATTGTGATAAATCAACAGCTGGTGCATTCATCTACAGATGTAAAATTTTGATTAATTAGTCAATCGAATAGTTGATGCAATTTGCATCGACTATTCAATGAGTTGATAAAGGTGCCTCTGCCTTTGAAGTGTAGCAACAACCCCAGGACTTGCTACACTTCAAAGGCGAAGCACTGCAGGGAGCACAGGGCCAGTTGGGGACTCGAGCAGTCCCCTGCTGGCCCCATGCTTCCTGTGGCATTTCAAAGCAGCAGCGCCTCATGGAGGCCAATGAGTCACCAGCTGACCCTGGGCTCCATGTGGCACTGCCGCTTTGAAATGCCACAGGGAGCCCAGTGTCAGGGGACTCCCAGCTGGCCCTGGACTACATGTGGTGTTTCAAAGCGCCAGACCCTGGGCTCCATGCAGTGCTGCTGTTTTGAAACACTGCATGCAACCTGGGCCAGCTAGGAACACCCAGCTGGCTCTAGGCTGCTCATGGCATTTCAAAGTGGCAGTGCCAAATGGAGCCCAGGGTCTGGCCTCAGGCTTCACACAGTGTTTTGCAGCACCTCCTTCTATCCCCACCCCGCTGCCTCTTTCTGATAGACAGGAAGGGGGGAGCAACTAGTCAACTAGCGTGTTGACTATCCGATAAGCATTTGCTTATCTGATAGTTGACTAGTCATTCACATCCCTAGATTCATTGTTGCAGCATGGATCCCCAGCATAGATCCCCAGCATAGTAGAGACCAGCTTTAATAATCAAGCTGCTGCTACTGCTGATGGAGGTTAAATGGTGATAGCAGTATTTAACAAAACAATGTAGTGAGGTGTTGAAGAACAAGTGATTGCTTATTTAAAAAAAATTACTGCTTATGAAAACACTGTAACTTCCAGTCATGGAAGGGGCTGATATGAAAGCCTCTAGTTCTTGCTGCTCAGACTCGCTTCTGTCTCCATTTGAAGTAAGATAATCAATATTATGACTTGCCAGCAATTTACATTTTTAGATGAATGGATTTAGTTTAAGAGGTAGAAGATTGGCATTTCTTCTGCTTATCATAACTCATTAAACAAACTCTTCAGTTTTTTTTAACTTTCTCTAATAACTGGAGGGCTGTACATTTAAAATACTAACAGGCTCAAGCTATTTTCACACTTTGGTTGGTGAGCAGATGTTCATTCTCAGATTGAAAATACGTGCTATTCTTCGTGAGAATTGTTGCCATTCAAACCAGACAGATCTAAAACTCTGAAACAACTGCACGGGAATACCTCTTGCTTTTTCTCCTTTTTCTCTTGAGATTGTGTTTGCTATAGAAGAAGGATAATGCCTTTCCAAGAATATTAGAGGCATACAAGCTATTAGATACCTGCCATCTATATAAGAAGTTATGAAATTCTAAGCCTCTCTTTTCCTACCTATCTCTTCATTATTAATATTGCTTAAGTCTGTACCTCACAGCTAACAAAGAGAAATCTAAAACTTACAACTGGGCTGTCTGACTTCTTTTATCTCTTACTTCATTCCATGTTAAGGTAAGTGCCTATTTTCAAGGAGCGTTAAGATGACCAGCTTAAAATTATGGCATAACTTTCCTCAGTTCCCAATTACTTACTTTCTTCTGGTAACACCTACCTGAAACAAATGACACCTTTTCTGTCATTAGCTATCTTCTAGCTATAATTTATTTTACCGTAAATCATATTTTTTTTATCTGGAACACGGAAAATAAATGTTACATATTTCCTTTATTGTGGACAAATTCATAATGCCGGACTGTTTTTATGAGTCTGTATTTGTTTTGTATTTATACAAGTATGTATCCAACTGGGAAATAAAGAATTTAACAAAAAACAAACAAATGGAAGTTTGTAATAAAGAATTCTGAAACTATATCTTCTAATGTGGTCCTCCAATAATCTTGTCAAAAGATTGGCAAGACTAGATATATTTTTAAACATAATTATAGGAATTACTAATCCACAGCTGGAGTAGTTCTTTTATCTGTCAGTGGCTGTCTTTGAGAAATACATGTAAAAAGTGCTATATCAGAAATTTATGAATATTGGTTACTGAGCACTTTCAGAAATCAATTTTTAGACCTTAACATCTTCATTTTTCTTTAATTCTGTGCCTGCACACAGAGAAAGGGCTTGCATCATGGTATAAACTATAAAATCTGGTCTTAAAAATCTTTTAAAATATAGCTACTTTGACCAACAAAATAATCTGCACCTAAGTATTCCTACAATTTAGAATTCAATTTAAATTTTAAGGTAAATATGGGCATACTGTGTTTAACCTCGCTTCTCTTCCAACACCCCCACGTGCATTTCCCCTTTCTCCCTGAAACTAAAACTTTCAGGCCAAGACTAAATCTTTATAATTGCTATAACAGCAGGGAAAATATAAAGCTTAATCATACATCTCCTGCTCGCAAAAGTAAACTTATATGAGCATTCCCAGTGAACTATGTACATGAAACAGGTATTTAAGATGGGGCCATGACTGTACAGGTAGATTCCTTCTAAACTGGGACCCTGTGGTCTGGCAAGACCTCAGTTTTGTCCCTGGACTAGAGAGCCCAGGTGGCTGGGAGTCTGGTGGGAAAGGGGGGGCCAGCAGTCAGAAGCCCTGCCGGGGCTGGGAACCCACCCTCACTGGCAGCAGGGAGGGCTGGCGGCAGGGGGGCTGAGAGCCTTTCTGGGGCGGGGGCAGTGGTGCCAGGGCTAACCTCACCTGGTCCAACAAGCTGCCTTGTTTGGGACTTGTACATCACATACCCTACTGGCTATATCAAGTATGTTATTAATCTTTTTTCCAGTGTAAAGGGAATGTGAAATTTAAGAATACTTGCCTGGAGGCATTCTCTCTCTTTATGTTGCTCTTCATAGCCTTGTGTGTGTGAGAAATGAATGACAAATGTGAAATGTACTTGTGCACCAGTGTTCCCTTGCTTTGATTTGCCATACAAACTCGTATCAGCTTTCCACTTTCTCACTTGCAATACACAACCAAAACCAAGTTAAGGCTAATCTTGTTATCTGTTCCATTTATTTTTTGGTATTGGAACTTTTAAAAATTGTTTTCTTGCTTAGAATATTATTTCTCTACTGGTAGTGTAAACTGTGTTATCTAACACAGAAATTTCATATTGTAGGTAAGTGCACAGGAGGGAATCCTTCATGCTTCTGGAAATGGGATACCCCCATTAACAAAGGACTACTGCATATTTTACAATCCTTCGTGGATATCTCTTCCAAATACCCTGGATAACACTGTGAGTAATTATGTAACTGTACTGTCTAAGAACTATGAAACCAACAATAGCTTTGGTTCAAGTGGAATTTACTGGTGGGGAAAACTGAGTAAAATCAGTGCTATTTTAAATGTATACCCCAAGTTTAAAAAAAAAAAAAAAAGGACCAAAAAAGTGTTGCTGTGGCTAAACTAAGTGGTTAGAGGCCAAAAGGAATCTTATTGAAGAAAATAGTAAGGAACATAAAATTTGACAAGTCAAGTGTAAAAGTACAATTAAAAGTCTTAAAGTATTTGAAGAACAGCCAGCCAAAGACTCAAAAACAAGCATGAAAACATTTAAATAAATCCGAAGCAGGAAGTTTGTTAAACAATCGGTGGGGCACTGGAAGCTGAGTTGTTAAAAGAACACTCAAGGAAGATAAAACTGTTAAGAGAAACTAAATTAATTCTCTGAAGCAGTCTTCACTGCAGAGGATGTAAGAGAGTCCCACACCTGAGCCATTATTTTTAGGTGACAAATCTGAGGAACTGTCCCAGACTGAGGTGATATTAGAGGAAGTTGTAGAACAAATAGATAAACACTAAGAAATCACCAGGACCAGGAGTTCTGAAGAACTCAAATATTAAATTTCAGAACTACTATCCTGTAAATCATCTTTGGTTGACGGCCAATTTTTAAAAAGGCTCTATCAGCAATTACAGGCTGGTAAGCCTAAACTTCAGTACCAGGCAATTGGTTGAAACGTAGCAAAGAATAGAATCCAGACACCTAGATGAACACAGTTTGTTGGGGGAGAGACAACATGACTTTTGTAAATGGAAATCATGACTCACCCATTTATTAGAGTTCTTTGAGGGAGTCAACAAATGTGGCCAAGAGTGATCCAATGGATATAATGTACTTAAACTTTTAGAAAGTCTTTGAAAATATCTTCACCAAAGGCACTTAAAGTAAGATACATGGGATAAAAGGGAAGGTCGTCTCATGGATCAATAATTGGATAAAAGATAGGAAGCAAAGTGTCGGAATAAATGATCAGTTTTCATAATGAAGAGTGGTAAATAGTGGTATCCCATAGGAGTCTGAACAGGGACCAATACTTTTCAGCATATTTACAAATTATCTGAAAAAAAGATAAATAATGAGGTGGCAAAATTTGCAGAAGATACAAAATTACTAAGATAGTTAAGTCCAAAGCAGGCTGCAAGTGTTACAAAGGGATCTCATGAAACTGGGTAACAAAATGGCAGATGAAATTCATTATTGAAAAATGTACAATAATGCATATTGAAAAACAATCTGAACCATACATAGAAAATGATGGGAGTCTAAATTAGCTATTATCACTCAAAGAGATCTTGGAGTCATTGTAGGTAGTTCTCTGAAAATATCTGCTCAGTGTGCAGCAGCAGTCAAAGTGCTAACAATTTTAGGAATATGTCGAGACAAAGTATGATTTTTACATAAATCCATGATATGCCAATATCTTAAATCCTGCATGCAGACCTGTTTGCCTCATTACAAAAAAGATATATAGGAATTAGAAAAGGAACAGAGACAAGCAACTAAACTTATTAGGAGTATGGAATAGCTTCCATATGATGTGAGATTAAAAAGACTGACTTTTCAGTTTGGAGAAGAAGTGACTAAGGGAGGGGGATATGATAGAGGTCTATAAAATCATGGCTAGTTTTGAGAGAGTAAATAAGGAAATGTTATTTACTCCTTCTCAAACACAAGAACTAGGGAGAAGGTTTAAAACAACCAAAGAAAGTACTACTTCACACAATACAGAAACAACCTGTGAATTTATTTACCAGGGGATGTTGTGAAGGCCAAAACTATAACATTTGAAAAACTAGAGAATCCCGGTGGATAGGTCTATCAATGGCTATTAGCCAGGCTGGGCAGGGATGCAATTCCATACTTTGTGTCCCTCCCCTCTGTTTGCCAAAAACAGGGAATGCAAAACTGGGGATAGGTCACTTTGTGACTGCCTGGTCTGTTCATTCTTTCAGAAGCACCTGTCACTGTCAGAAGACAGGATAGTGGGATAGATGGACCATTTGTCTCACCAAGTATGGACATTCCTATATTCTACGTTCTCATTAGGATAACTTCTAACTAGTTACCACTACTTATCTTCTGTCAAGAATAATCATAACACAATCCTTAAATTTAGTACTGTGAATATACATTTAGCCTAAAGTGTGGCCCACACAACCCACTCACCAGGTTATCAAGTGCCACACAATTCAGTGCCCCCTCTCCCACTGCCATGTTGCTCCTGCCCTCTACTTTGAAGCTGCTCTCGGTAGCCTTCTCCTTGCTTTGTAGCATGGTGAGGGATAGTGACTACTGATGTGAGGGTGTACAGAGGCAATGTCGGGGAGGGAGGGGCAAAAGGAAGGGCATCCCATGGCTCGGGTGTGGGACAGGGAGCTTTATTGCTGTTTGCTTTGAATGCTGATCTAATTAAAGGGCAATGTACTTAAATGGACAATGTTCCTGGAATACTTTGACTGAAGTGATTTTTGTTTGGAATACACCTTATTTTGGAACTTGGTAGGTTTAAAATAAGACTTGCCAATATTGATTAGCATGTTCATTTGCATAAAATGTGTTTAAAATAGATTTAATTGCAAATGGGTTTTCAGGTGGCAGTATTTTAATGATTATTTGGAATTTATATTACCGTCCCTTACTCATGGTTAAAACTCACACTTGAGCCAAGATTAGAAAAATTCCACAAACATTTTGAAGAGGCTTTTTCCTTTCCTTTCACAACCCTTTATGTTACTGGTAAATGCTCTAGGCTTGTAAATAATCAAAGAAATATTCTTTCCCTTGATTCATAAACAAGGCTGGCTCAGTACAAAATCAGAGGAAGTGCAACAGCCTTGCTTTTGTCAAGGACCAGCTGTGGCCAAACGTAGGGGTAGCTTGACAAGCCAAAGAAAACAACTTGCTTGTTGAATAGGACCTAATGTTTGTTTATAAAACTAAAATTAAATATATGGAGATTTTTATTTATACTACAACTACTTTGGTTTAAGGCTAATTTACTGTCCTGGGGGGGTGTGTGTGTGTTGCAAATGAACCAGAGTTTGGATATGTATCTTAGTCACTGCTGCTTTGCAAGATTAAACTTGTGTACGACAGTGGGGTTATCTAAAGCTGCTGTCTGCTACTCATTATAAGCATATTCAGAAGCCTAGTTGCTGAGAAGCTTTGGTCTTGAAGTAGGCTGTAAAGAGATTAAGATTGGTTTGGAAATCTCAAATGTATTCAGTTGCTTATTGCTATGCTTTTAAATTTTTGTGATCTGTTAGTATTGCGGTGAACCCACATGAATGATAGAAGGGGGAAATAAAAATAATGGATTTCAGGAAGACAGACTTGAGCAAACTTAGAGCTGGTAGGTAAGGTCCCATGGGAAGCAAGACTAAGAGGAAAAACAACTGAAGACAGTTGGCAGTTTTTCAAAGGGGCATTTATTAAGGCCCCAGAGCAAACTATTCTGCTGCATAGGAAGTATGGCAAGAGACTATCTTGGCTTAATCAGGAGATCTTAAATAATCTAAAAATAAAAAAGGAGTCCTATAAAAAGTGGAAACAAGGTCAAATGACAAAGGATGAATATAAGCAAATAACACAAGTTTGTAAGGGCAAAAGTAGAAATGCACAGGCACAAAATGAGCTCAGTCTAGCTAGAGACATAAAGGGCAGCAAGAAAACATTCTACAAATATTAGAAGCAAGAGGAAGACCAAAGACAGGGTAGGCCCATTGCTCAATGAAGAGGGAGAAACAATAACAGAAAATGTAGAAGTGGCAGAGGTGTTTAACGACTTCGTTTCAGTTTTCACCAAGAAGGTTGGTAGTGACTGGATGCCTAACATAGTAAATGCTGGTGGAAATGAAGTAGGTTTAGAAGTTAAAGGAAAAGAGCTAGTTAAAAATTACTGAGAGAAGTTAACTATCTTCAAGTCATCAGGGTTTGATGAAATGCATCCTCTGAGGTTAGGATAAGAAGCAATGGGCTTAAATTGCAGCAAGGGAGGTTTAGGTTGGACGTGTGGAAAACGTCCTGTCAGGTCGGTTAAACGCTGGAATAAATTGCCTAGGGAGGTTGTGGAATCTCCATCATTGGAGATATTTATGAGCAACTGGGATAAATATCTATCAGGGATGATCTAGAACAATGGTGGGAAATCTCTTTTGCATCAGGATCCACTGACCCACAGAAAAATCAGTCAGGAGCTGCACACAAATGAGAAGTAAAGTGAGAAGCCCCTGACTGAGAAGGAAAAAGGCACTCCTCACATTCACCTTGCACACCAGAACTTAGGGGGCCCAGGCTTGTAGATTTTATGTACTCCGGCCCCGCGGGTGGACGGCAGGGGGACTGGAGCACCTGTATGGGCTTTTCATTGCTGAGCCTCGGTGGCCAGATCCGGGCAAGCTAAGGGAGCTGCATCTGGCCCCCAGGCCTGAGGTTCCCCACTCCTTATATAGATGGCCCTTGTCCTGCTATGAAGGCAGGGGACTGGACTTGATCTTTTGAGGTCCCTTCTAGTTCTAGTATTTTCTGAATGTCCCACAGTGTGTGTGTGTGTGTGTGTGTGTGTGGTTTTTTTTTTTTTTTCTCTCCCTACTGATTTCCTATTCTGAACCCACATTGCTGAGTCAACTATGCCATTATATTTCTTAGGTCCATTTACTACCTGTAAATAAATGTTTTGGTGGGATAAATAAATGAGAAACCATCTTGGAAATTAATATTTGATTAGGTTTTTTTTTTTTGTTTAACATTTCTGATTATTTTTTTTGTAGGCTTCCAGGAGTTTGAAAAATTTGACATCCAAAGTGCTTTGCAGTAATGCTGAAGTTCCTTCTACTCTTATTATAAAGGACAAGGCAGTTGTTGTAATGAGAGGAAACTGCTCATTTGTGGATAAAGCAAGAACTGCTCAAAGTCACGGTGCTAAAATACTGTTGATTGCCACTAAAACTGGTCTAGTAAGTTCTCACATTCTATGGCGTAATCTTCTTTAAACTGACATTATCTTATTTGCATTTATTGACCTCTGGTTACCTATTCTTTATATTCAAACAACTAAATGAAAAAGCTTATCTTCATTCTTCTCTAATTTTAGCTGCATAATCTTTAACTGAACAATTTATATTTTATTAAGCATTAGTATAATCTAAAGTGTGTAAGCAATCTTTGCTGGAGAAAACAATCACTAAAAATATCAACTGATACAGAAGAACAAAAGGAAAAAAATGACTAACAACTGCAAGATAAGGGTAGTTCTTTTTGATCATGTCTTATCACTTTGCCAGACATACATGACCTATTTTTCTTGCTCTTTAACGATATTGGATATCTTATGTACATTATATGTATAGTTCTAGTTTGTGCAAATACATTTCAATATAGCAAAATACATTATTAATAGAACATTATTGATGGATTTTTAGCTTAAAAATAGTTAACCCACCTTTTAGAACAAGTTTATTGGAGCCAAACTACTGGGTTTTGATTATATTCATAAAAGCATCAGATGCTTACCAGAACACCTCTGGGTCTGTAATGTTAGCCTTTGCTGTAGCACAGTTTTCCTTATAAATAGCTGAGTTTTTCTCTGTAACTTTGAACCATCTCTGTTGATTTTTGTTTACGAACTAGGAATGTAAGTGAGTTTTAGAACAAGTTTATTGGAGCCAAACTACTGGGTTTTGATTATATTCATAAAAGCATCAGATGCTTACCAGAACACCTCTGGGTCTGTAATGTTAGCCTTTGCTGTAGCACAGTTTTCCTTATAAATAGCTGAGTTTTTCTCTGTAACTTTGAACCATCTCTGTTGATTTTTGTTTACGAACTAGGAATGTAAGTGAGTGGTCGCAGATTACTCACTCTTTCTCTCTCCCCCTCTCCCCCCCCCCCCCCCCCCCCCCTGCCTCTCTCTCCGTCTCTATTTCTCTTCCCCCCCTCCTGCCTCTCACTCTCCCTTTCTCTTCTCCTCCTCCTCACTCTCTCTCTGCTCCATCTCTCTCTTTCTCTTCTTCCTCTCCTGTCTCTCTCACTCTCTCTCTGCTCTCCTCTGTCTCCGTCGGGGAGGGCCAGCTTCTGCCTGTGGCAAGCCTGGGCTCCCAGAGGCAGGGCTTGCTTCGCGGGAGCAGCCTGGGACCTCCTGCAGACAGGGGCTGCTGGATCCCATGTGAGTCGAGACTGAACAAGCCCGGCTCAGTCAAGTCCAGGAGCTACCCCCTCTGTAGCTCTGCAGTTTAAGTCTAGTCGAAGCTTGGCTGCCTGTGTATCTGGCTCCTCCCTCATGTAAACAGCAGAGCTTGCATCTGGGATAGCTCCTGGACCGGGACAGAGTGCCTCTCCTTATTGACTAATCGTTAGTCGATACAATTTGTGCTGACTACATGAGTAGTCAGTTACCTGCCTCTTAATGTCCTTTTTATCAACATAAATACTGGTGTTCAGAGGATCAACTGTGTATAAAGTAGTGTTAGCAAACATGCTGTCAGGTCCCCTTACAAGTTTTGTGTTTTAGTCTTCTCCTTCAGGTAACAAGACTGATCTACAAAATGTGACCATTCCAGTTGCTCTTGTAAGATATAATGATATAATGGATATGCAGCAGGTAAGTGACTGATAAAATACTGTAATAATTTGATATGTATAAATGTTTCCTAATTACATTGATCATCATTATATGATCCATCCTAATAGTTTAGTGTCCAGTTAGACAGGCATCTTGTATTTTTAACTTGATTCAAGTGTTTATACAGTGTCTTTCTTCTAGCTTTTAACTTCACGTTTAGAGAAAGGGGATTGAGACTTCAGTCATGCTCTTTTCCCTTCCAGGCTAATCTATAAGGGTGTGTCTACACAGCAGGGCTTAACTCAAAATAAACTACACAAATTGAGCTACATCAATTTGCATAGCTTATTTTGAAATTGGGAATTTCTACGCTCACTTTGAAATGGAGCACTCTTCCTCTAGGACTTGCCTTACTCCTTGTACAGTGAGGGTTACAGGAGTCAGAGTAAGAAGTCCTGCAGCTTAACAGTATTTCAACGTTATTTAGAAATAACTGCCTGCTGCGTGATTAAGTTATTTTGAAATAATGTTGCTGTGTAGATGTACCTAACTGTGTTCCTTCAGCTAATAGTAATGAGCAGACTATATTTCTGTTATCCACCTATTCATCAACAGTGACCTGTATTTAAATTTTGTTGAAATGTACAGATTAGAAAAAGATCATAGAGACAGTGATTTAAAAGAGAACATAGAATGGAAAATGTCATGACCAATAGCCAATCTTTGGAATGCTGTATAGGACAAAACACACACCAGATATAAGTTACTATATTATAGTGTGACAATGCAATATGTAATGCTAATATTCGACTAACAGATAGCAACTTACTTTTCTACCATGTTTATATAACCTTGATTGACTGAAGCTCAGTAATTAAAACAGTGTAATTTCCCTGAATTCTACTAATTGCATCAACAGTTACTTCAGATTTTCAAATGTATTCAATGTCACTATGATGTTTAGATAATGGAGATTTTCTAAAATTTATGATTTTTCTCATATAGAAAGTAAAATAGAATCAGTATGTTGCTAGCATGTTCCATAGAGTCACTATTAAATCCTCCCTTCCTCATCTCTACTGTGTTCCCTGTAGCAAAATTTGCTTGTCATGTTCCGTTCCTCTCTTGGTTTTTCTCCTGCATCCAGGTTGTTCACAAATCTCTTAGCTCTCCCTCTGCATCATCTCTGGTTTCTGCCTTTCCTTTGAACTGTTCTACTGAGCTTGCTCCCTCAGAAGTTTGTCACACAGTTAATTGTAAGGCTGAGGTGCAGGATGGTTTTGGAGGACTGCATTGGGTCTGTGGTCGAATTGAGATATTTATTGCATTTTGTCATAGATGACCATTGCTTTTCCACACCTGCCCCAGGATTTCCTCTGAGGTGGTGTCTCTGCATTGGAGCAGGTGATAGATGTCTGCACCCTTGGGCTTGGGTGTTTGCTTGGGCCCATTCCACACTCTGTGAGCCAGTTCTATTGCACCCATGATCTGCCATTTTCCCCGCTAAACATACTTGTCCAGGGCTTTTGTCTAGCTATGATTTTAAGATATAGAAGTCAGTTTAAACTTTTGCAAAGAGGCAATTTTACATATAAACTGTATAGTCCTCTCTGAGTGAAAGGCTCTGCCTTTACTGACAGTAATGATGCCAAACACTGCCTGCTCATAGCACCTGTTTCAGTTCACACTTCATTTCAAAGGCATTTAAAAACACATCCATGTCTTTTCTTTCTGTAAAGAAAGGAAACAATTTTGCGTCTCTGCCTCCCTCTGTACATAGGGTCTGCCTCCAACTACTGGAATAGGGTTCTTCTGTTGATACAGTCTGTCCCAGTTGAGTTCATCTTGTTGCTCCTTCTTTCTCTTCTGGCTGATGTGCTGACTCTGTTTCTTGTGGTCAGCTCTCTCACATTCTTGTTCTGCAAGCAGCTGGGCTTTCAAGTTGCAGCTAGAAAGGTACAGACTAAACTTGTTTTTTCTCTACCCATTTATCTTTGCAGGAACTTGGCAGAAGTGATTGATTTGTTTTGAGTGTGATATGGTTTGTCCTCTTCCTTTGCTTCCCTTTAGGAGTTTTAACCAAGATTTTCCTCTCCTGCTAGACACTCTGATGCTGAACTGTTTGGACCATCATTTCTTTTCAGGTCCTCCTCAGATAGAAAGTGAATTAGCTGTGCTTCTGTCAGCTCTTGAACTTGTCTGTCTCTCTTTGCAACTCTCAACTGGATGATGATTTTTTCAACAGTTAATAATTCCCTTTTTTATATCTTATCACTACTCGTTTCCTGAAAAAGCTGAGAAATTCTTGTTATGTTTTTTTCCTTCCACAGTATGTACTATCCCTGTTAGCATTTCCTGACAATTCACCACTATCTAACTGCACCAGACCTCGACAAAATACGGCCCACAGGCCAGATCTGGCCTGCCAAGCCACTGGATCCAGCCTGTGGAGGCAGTGGGGGAGCCCCAGGCAGACTCCCCTGCTTGCCAGGCAGCCCCACACGCCGCTCAAATGTGGATTGGGGTGCTTTTTTTTTCCCAGTCTGGATGATGTGGTGGTGGAGGGGGGGGGTCAGATGCTACTCCTGCCCTTATCATAATCCCGCTGGCCGATGGGAGCTGCGTATCTGAATAAGAAGCAGCCAGAAAGCACAACCCTCCTGCTCACTCACTCAAGCACATGGCCAAGCAGGCAGAAACATTTTAAGCTCTGCAAGCCTCTAGCTTTGCAGGCAGGCAGGGAAGTTTCCTGGCAAGAACCTGCCTCTGGCACCTCAGCCCCTCCCTTCCCTAACACTCTGCCCCACACTCCTGCCCTGCTATTCCACATGTACTCATACCCCCTCCCAGATCTGGCACCCCATCTCCTGCCAGAGAGCACAGTCCCCTTCTACATAAAGTCACATCCCAAAATCCTGCACCCCAGTTCCCTGCCCTAGGTCACAACCACCACCTATATCCAAATTCCCTCCCAGGCTCCATTCTCCCTTCTGCACCCCAATCCTTTACTCCAAGCTCCCTTCTGTAACCCAGACCCTGCATCTCCTCCATTAATACCATGGAAGAGTGTTGCACTCAACCACTTTCCAAAATCTTGGGAGTGGCCCTCCGTCAACAATTGTTGCGTTGGACTACACACACAGCTACCATATATGTCACAATTTGGAGGTAACTGCACCTTTTATCTACAGTATGGTTGTCATCTTGCTAATTTTATCTGTGTTCTGGTATTTTCCAGGGATTCTGTCTTAGGCCTCTAGTCATTTTTTCCTCAGGACAGGGCCCCATTCATCTCTCATCAGAACAGGATTGTCTCCCTGAAATTCACTGTGTCTATCCCAGAAGTTCTGCTGTAGTTCAGCGCCTATGTTTCGCTCTCTCCAGGAACAGTGGCAGGGTTACCAGTGATCAGACAGATTTCACAGAGCTCTGTGGACATATTTTAGAACAAGTATTACACTAAAAAGGTGTAATAAAGAATGAGGCGTCTGAACTCAGTGTGTGTTTAGTCAGATGCTACCCGTCTTCCATGCAGTGAATCTGGTAGCTCAACATCCTTCGGACCCTGTGGGTAAGGTTTGCCTCTGGTTAAAGGTTCATGTTAGTTTGGTTGAAAATGGAGGCCTCTTAGTTCAAGATGATACTTTATATAGTTTCAGGGCCTTTTGTTTCCAGGGGCTTCTGAAACAGGTAAAGCTAGTCAGTGTCCCCTTCCATTCCCAAGACAGTGGAGCTTTAGCAGCTGAACATCTGTATAACAACACTGCATTAACCACCTCTAGTGATTCCAGATTTCACAGGAAATCCAGCCATAGACCCAAGAATACACACATGCATTTAACTTACGGATACAATGTACCCCATATCATTTAATGTCTCAATAAAAAAAAAGTATTTGACGTTTTCATGCTTCTGAGGTCTTGCTCACAAAAATGCAGATAACATTTATAAAGGTATTACAAGAATCTCCAGGTTATTTCTGTCTTCTCATGTATTATACACTTTCATCTGTTGCAGCCGGTAAAATTGACTTAATACTCTGACCTGGTGTGCAGCAGAAGATGAAGATAACATCTGATTTTAAAAACAGGATAAGCACTGCATATTCTGCTGTAGTATGTAACTCCTACATTTATCATTCTTCAGGCCCTTGGAGGTAGGATTAACGTAACACTCTATTCACCATCTTTGCCAGAGTTTGACTACAGTATGGTTGTCATCTTTCTAATTGCTGTGTTCACCGTGGCACTGGGAGGCTACTGGAGTGGAGTATCAGAGCTGTAAGTTTCATTAAATGATATAACTATTCTATTAAGCAATGTAAAATGCAGTTCTAAATGTCTGTGGTGGTGATAATGGGCGTGAGACAGGATGGTCCAGTTGCTGGGCATCAGTCTGAGGTTTAGGAAACTGAAGTACAATCCCTGTTCTGCCTTGGATTTCCTGTGAGACTTTGGGCAGTCGTGGTTTCCCAGTGCCTAGGTTCCCCATTCCCACTACCATATGTATCTGAGCATTTCTTATATTTAACATATGTATTCTCTCAAAACCTCTGAAGTAAATATGTACTACTATGTAAGCTCATAAGATAGAAACATGAGGACAATAAGAAATATGCCGCTTCTAAATATTGTCTTTAGCTTTTTATCTCATTGATGTCAAAAATATAATTCATCTAATGAATCATGCCAATGTTTCTGGCAAAACACTAAAGGCATATCCAGTTCTTAAAAAATGATTCCCACACAAAAGAGTTAGGTTGAGAGAAGTCTGAACTACTAAAAGGTACACAGCTAGTAAATAAATTGACATTGAAAGTGAAAGCCAAAGAGACAATAAGCCAATGTAAGAATATCCCCATACTGTTATAACACTCAAACACCACAATTTCATCTGGGTTCGTTGCTCATCGTGAAGAAAGGTTGGCACTCCAGTTTATATTTTTTAAAACTGCATTAGCATGAATAAATAACATTCTGCATAGCCTTGAGTTCATTAAATTATTCTTATCTCATATACCTAGAAATGGAGCACAAAGTGTGTGCAAGCTCACAAACACTTTAAAGGAAACCTGGATGGATATTTATGCTTCAACAGGGGTTTCTCTGTGTAACTGAAAGTGGAGAAAAACATTTTGAATAGTCTTAAATCCTGTTTGTGGTGGACAGGGTACAAATAATTGTTTTGGTTTGTCAGATGTGGCCATATCTCTGTGCAGTGGAAGGAGGTAATCAAAGACGTGTTTCTGTGAAGAAAATGTAAAAATACTAGCAAATTTGAAAAGACCGAGACTTCATATTAACCTGTATGAATAACTACCAAAATTTCATCCACCCCACTGCAGTAAACATGATTCCATTTTTGCAAAGGGGAAACTCAGTAGGTACTCGTAGCATAAGGAAGCCTTTTATGTCCCTATGTTAGATAGGCAGCTGTTGATCCATGGCATGCAGTATTGTACTACATTCACCCTTCTGTACACTTTTGACACTTTGGCCAAACAAGCTCATGTGATCCTTGGCTGTATAAAACAGAAATCTCAAGCAGAAGTAAGGAGGGTACATTGTCTGCCTTTGGCACTGGTGCAGTTGTTACTGGAATAGTGTCCAGTTCTGATGGCCATAATTCAAGAAGGATGTTCATAAATTGAGAGGATTAAAGAACCATCAGAGTGATTAAAAGATTGGAAAACGTATCTTATAATAGACTCTAGGAGCTCAGTCTCGTTATCTTAACAGAGAAGGTTAATTACTAGAGAAGGTTGATTACTAGAGCCTTATGCAAATATAAGTGTTGTACCTGCATCTGCAAAAATGATCTGTGGATATCCACATCTGTATGTGTGGATTTGCTCAGTTCTATTCTTTACAGGTTGAACCTCTCAGGTCTGGGACTCTCTGGTCTGGTAACATCTGTGGTCCTGGCAGCCCCAGGGGCTGGGAGTGGAACCTGACAGGCAAGGGCAGAGGGCCCCCATTAAGGTTCTGTGTGTGGCCCATGAGACATTTTGTTGTCCACTTGACTGCACACGTCTGCTGGTTTCCATCCACACAGTTTTTTTCCCCCTCTTGTTTTACTGAAGTGATGTGCGTGTAAAACAAGGACTTGTGAAGTGTAGTGTGTGCTGATTGCACATGTTGACTATGAAAGCCGTGCGCTCCTGAATCCAATCCAAGTGCTGCTATGACTGATTTGGCGCACACTGCAGGTTCTAAGTATGCAAGGACAGTTAGCAAAACTATCATATCCCAGGAGAACATCTTGATTATGACAATCTTGAGGACCATTAAGATGGTGGAACTACTTGTGGCCCACTCACTAGCCTAGGTTGCCGATCATTGACTGCACACAGTGAAAATATGCTTCTTCAGATTTGTAAGCCACTAACTTAAAACAAATCCTCACAGAAAAGTATGCATTATACCTAGAAAATTCTTTCCTTGTTGGTTTTGTAAAATACCATATTTTCCGGCGTATAAGACGACTTTTGATGCTAAAAAAACATCCCCCCAAAATCGGGGGTCATCTTATATGCCGGGTATTGAGGCGGCTGCTGCGGCTTTGCTCCCGGTGCCTCTGGTCTGCTGGGGACCGTCTCCAGCAGACCAGGGACACCGGGAGCAAAGCTGGGGAGGCGGAGGGGCGCTGGGGTATAAGACGAAAACCTATCTTTTAACTAAAAATTAGGGGTCGTCTTGTACACCGGAAAATACGGTAATCATTACCTTATCTACAAATGCTGACATGTTGAATTATACGCCGGAAAATACGGTAATCATTACCTTTTCAACATGTCAGCATTTGTAGATATGATGGCCTTTGGATTTGGGGTAGTGTGAGAGAGGTAGTTTGCCTGTTTGGTTAAAGGCTTTTAGTTTTGTTTGGTGTAACATATTAATGGTTTCAGTAAGATTATTTCTTGTGATACGGTGTAAATATGGAGCACATTTGTATTATATGAAGAAATGTTACCTCTAATGAAACACCTCTTTGTCTTTTTTATCTCCCTGTTTAATTATGGAATATAGAAGCAGAAAAACTGGTAGCTGACTAACTGGATTTTGCTAACTTTTATGTTTTTTCAGATACTTAATGAGATGGACAAGTTCCTAAACACTTATTAGAATTTGTATATAATACAAACACCTGTCAATGACAGATCCATTTTCAGTGGTTTTGAATTCTTAGGATAAATTCCCTACTGACTTACCCAGGAAGACTCCACTGAAATCAGTGTGGTCAGGTCTGGTTTACACTAGAAAATTAGATTGACTCCAGTTGTGTTACATGGAGGTGTGAAAAATCCACACCCCCTGAGCAACATAGTTAAGACAGTCTAAATATTTGTGTAGACAGTGGTATGGTGATGGATTAATCTTTCCTACTGGCAAAGGTAGTGTCTCCTATACTTAAGCTCTACAGTGGCACAGCAGCAGCTGTACTGCTGTAGCATTTCAAGTGTCAACAAGTTTTAACTCTTGATTTTATACTAATGTAGATGACAGCAGATTTTGGACTAGTGGTTCCTAAAAAAGGAAGGCATGAGTGTTCCATTTATAACTGTTTTTTGTTTTGTTTTGTTTTGTTTTTTAAGAGGTAACTTTAGATTGTTTTGTTAAATGTTTTTTTAAGATTTGACCCTCTTGTCTCAAACAGATTAATATAAGGAATTAAATATTTCATCATTACCTTTTGTGAAACAGGATGGATCTATAGAAAAGTAGGAGAGAATTTCAAAGGATATATTGGGAATTTGGCATATTTTTCTTTAAGTGCACAATAGGAAACTGACAGTATGGAAGATCAGAATATATACTAATTTTTTTTCCTTTAGGTTGTCAAATATTAATGTTCTGCCTGATCTACTCTTACAGCTCTCTGGGTTATTTTATGAATCTAGAGTAGCTTCAGATAGGCATGTTCTGAACTATATTTTATGAATCTAGAGTAGCTTCAGATAGGTAGTTCAGAACATGCCTAGCTTTTGAAGTCAATGAGCCTATGCACATACTAAAAGTTAGGCATATGGTTAATGACCTTGCTGAATTGTACTATCAGGGACTACTTAAATTAATAAAGCAAAAATGTTGGTCAAGATAGGCACTTTGTTTTTAAGGTCATAGTCACTGTCTATAACTGAAATCTTTTTTTATCTATGCAGTGAGGATTTAAAGGTAGAGGCAAACCCTGAAAACGGAGAAACAAGAAGAAAGAAAGATGATAATGTTACTTTAACCCCTCTAACAGTTATCGTATTTGTGATAATCTGTTGCGTCATGCTAGTCTTACTTTATTTCTTCTACAAATGGCTAGGTAAGTGATATCTATAATTCTCACTTGATTTCTTTTATGTATATACATTTTCTGCTTGAATTTAGTTTTTAATTCCGACTTTTTTTTTTTTTTTTTTTTTAAATTCCCCCTTCATTTATTGAGGGAGCAGAATAAGACATACTTTAAAAAAAGGGAGGGAGGGAAAGGGGTGGGTGGGGGTGTGTGTGTGTGTGTTTCTCTCCATGGTTTCTTCTTCTCTCCTCTCCTCCCCACCACCCCCCCATGCCAATTTTTCTCCATTAAGGGTGCTAAGGCAATAGTTATTTTGTATGAAGTATATGTGAGAGATGGTCCCAAACTTTGATGGTAAAAAAGTAATAGTGCATATGATGCCCTTTGTTCATCTTTTTAGAAGGAATGTTGTAGCTGAATATCTGGACTCTTCTAGAGCAACCACTTAGCCACATTAATTCGTTCTCTAAACTTATTTTAGATTTGTAGTTTCACCAGACTCCTTGTGGTAGGGCCAAGTGGCCTAAGTAAACCTGGTTAATTGGACAGAGTTGTACATGCTACCAATGACCTAATTATCTTCCAAATGATGCAATCCTGAGGAAACTTTTGCATGATAACCTGTTGTTTTTTCCTCTGCCTCATTTGGTGACTTGAAGTGTATGAAGCTAGCATCTGCAGGATCCCTGCCTCATTTGTTACAGAAGTTGGGAAGGGTATGGTGACAAAGGCAGGGGATAGTGTGAGGAAAAAGGTTTTTCTGGTGATTAAGGAAGTTGAATGTTGTCATGGAGGAGTTGATTTTATTCCTGCGTCTGCCACAGAGTTGTGTGGTGGTGAGCATACAAAATTGGGATGATAGTACCATCTCCTTATAGGAAGATGAAAATAAATTCAAGTGTGTAAAGAGCTAAGATAATAGATAGCACCATAGAGCGGGGTGGGTAATAAAACATCAGCAGTTCAGAGGGTTAGTACTATAGTTACCTGTACCTCCGCAGGTACAGATCATGTTAGCCAAGAACGGTGATCGCAGATCCAGGGATCACAGCTGCAGGAGGCACAGGTAATATAGTTCAAACTTCTCTTGTCTGGCACCCTTGGAACTTGAGTAATAGTTACCTGTACCTCCGCAGGTACAGGTCATCTCCTCTCATGTTGGCCAAGAACAGTGATCTGCAGCTGTGATCCCTGGATCTGCGGAGGCACAGGTAATATAGTTCAAACCTCCCTTGTCCGGCACCCTTGGAACTTGAGTGGTCCCAAACCACAGGAGCGACGAGGAGTCCTGTGGCACCTTATAGACTAACTGAAGTGTAGGAGCGTAAGCTTTCGTGGGCAAAGACCCACTTTGTGAGATGCATGTCATGCATCTGACAAAGTGGGTCTTTGCCCACGAAAGCTTACGCTCCTACACTTCAGTTAGTCTATAAGGTGCCACAGGACTCCTCGTCGCTCCTGTGTTTTGCAGATTCAGACTAACACGGCTACCCCTCTGATACCAAAGGGGGTGCCACAGGGTTTGCCGGGCAAAGAGAGTAGGGAGCCTTGACCTGGGCTGTAGGTTCTGCTCCCTACTGGAGCTGTAGTCCCTGTCACCTGATGCTCCCTCCAGCCCCCCACCAAGCTAATTCTGACCAGGGCTGCGTCCCCCACCGTGCCAGCCCCAGGCAGGGGCCAGCCCCGCTGCAACCAACTCTAGCCGGGGCTTCACCCGCCTCAGTGATGACTCCCCCTTCTGACTCCAGCACTGGCTGGGGCAGGGCTCTTTGCCACCAGCCATGACTGGGGCTGTCTCTCTCTCCACCCCCCTGACCGAGGCTATTATTCCCACCGCGCCAGCCCCACTTGAGTAGTGGTGGGGAGCACATCCCAGCCTGGGCCGCACTTCTGAACCTGGCTGGCAGGGGCTCTCTGGTCCAGCAATATCTGTGGTCCTACCAGACCACAGATGTTGCCAGACCAGAGAGTCCCAGATTTTAGAGGTTCAGTCTTTACGTCGGTGTGGAGGCTTGCCAGGTGCTAACTCTGACAGACAGGATCTGACCTGTGGGCCGGTATTTGCCCACCCATACCATAGAGACGCTCATGTTCTTGTTACATAAAAACCTAACAAGTTAATCCTGGGTCTGTGTGTCTTGTTTGGTGAATTCCTTCCGTTTATATTAATTTAGATGGCATTCTTAAGGGTAACTCTGACAGACAGGATCTGACCTGTGGGCCGGTATTTGCCCACCCATACCATAGAGACGCTCATGTTCTTGTTACATAAAAACCTAACAAGTTAATTTTGGGTTTGTGTGTCTTGTTTGGCTTGTGGGTTGTTTGGTGAATTCCTTCCACTTATATTAATTTAGATGGCATTCTTAATTTCAGTTGACATCCTTTACAATATCTGGAGTGAAGTCCTTCAGCAGGTTCATGTTGTGACCTAACTGGTTTAAACACCAGGACATTCAAATTAGATGCTAATGGTTCAGTTATCTGATGGGTATGAAGGAAAAACAAGCCAATTAAATAGTATACTGAAGGAGTGTCCACCTTAACTTTACATTTATTGAATTTTATTGGTGTCTGTTATAACATTGTAACCTATTCACCTGGATCGCTTCACTCATGTAAAGTTGTACATGTGCATTGACTGTTGTTGGTGCATTGAATGGAAGAAGTGTTTTTTGGTATTTGATCTTTTTATGGTACTATAAAGAGAAACTATTTTGAGATGCATAGTAGAACACACATTTAGGCTTGAATAAATAATAACCATGCAGCACTATCTAAATATATTAAATGTTAATTATATGATAAATGTTTATTTTGGTATAAATATTCTTTTGAGGGAAAAATCATATGCCTGTTAAGTCTGATTATATGTAAGTGACTGATGAGGAATCTATTGTGTAAATCCTTTTTCTACGCACTGGCTTTGTGATACTCTGCTCAGACCACCCAGAACTGGAAGCCACTGTGTTGACCTTTCTGCCTCAGCATATAACAACCATGCTGCTAAGCTGTGTGTCAGCTGTGTGACACTCCAGCCTGTCCATCTTGCTAGCAAATTCCTTGAGATTCTGCCAGCCTAAACATTGCTTTTCAGGTAAAAGTCAGTCAACCCCAGTTCCTCAGTTGCCCAGAGACATCTCCCTGTCATAGGACACTTACAAAAATTATTAAATTTGTTGCCTCCAAAGAGTCAGAGCCCAAATAGCTGCGTTTAGGATCCATTCCCCCCCAGACCAAGGAGTTAGAGCACAAAAGCTGTTGTGATATAATGCCACATGCAGACGGACTCTCAAGAGTTGCTGGGACGTGAAGCAATGTGCCTCGAGGCATTGGGAGAGGTCCCAGGATTCATCACAGCCCCCCTCCACCTTCCCACAAGCCTCAGCAGCAGAAGACGTGCTCTGTGGGATAGTAGCCCAGAGTGCACCACTCCAAATGCTGCCAAAACTCTGTTCACACTACTGCACTGGCAACTGACAGTGTGGAGACCTAACAGGGGTTCCTGCAGCACTTTATTTCTGCCAGTGTAGACAAAGCCTTTGCCTCAAAAGTCAGGAAGACTTCTTGTGTGTTCACTAAGTTGTTTTCTGCTTGTTAACTTGATTGCTTTGTTTATGTTGTATGTAAAGATCCTTTAATTATCCTCTGCCTGCATTCAAGCCAATCAGTCAGGTAAATCCCCATGCTTTTTGTCCAGAGCAAGTTTGTTTTATGCACTGCCTCTCAAACATGTTTTAAGAACATATTTCTAGTACACATACATACTACTTTATACACAGCCAGGACATACATCATGCAGTGAAAGTCCTGAACTTACAAGATACTTTTTGGGAATATATTATAATGGTAGTGTTTTGGGGGTAGTGTCAGGCCAGTTATGAGTTATAGTATAGTGGGCCCTCTGCCAGTGGGCATTGAGGGGCTTGGAGGGGTATGGACTTGGCAAAGCATAATAGGTCCTCTACTATTTAATACAACTATTGGACATGTCTGTGAAGCATCCATTTCAACAAAAGTCTAACTTTCTTAGCTGCTCCTATTGAAGCAAGTGGGTGTTTCATCACTAACTTCCATGGCAACAGGCATGAACCCTTCATTTAGGGTAGGATAAGACTCGCTGGGAAATGCAGTTAACTACAAATAATTGTTTGTCTTGTTTTTTCAGTTTTTCTGTTGCCTCTCCAAAATTCTAGGAATCTTTTTCTATTTGTAACACAATTAATAATACACAATTTTTAGCTCATTTTTTTTCCAAGTGAGACACACTATTGGAAATTATGAGAGAGTTAAATAGAGTATCTTTAAGAGCCCACCTCAATAGTTTTTAGTCCTTAACTCCAGAGGCACCGACTTCCTGATTTCTTGGAGTGCTTGACTCTTGCTCCATCCCAAGCCCCACACTGATTGCACTGCACCCTTTCCCCTAAAGTCCCATCCTACTTCTTCTTGCCCCCATGCTGCTTCTCCTCATTCTACCCCTTCCCCTGAGTGTGCTTTGGCCTTCCTCCTTCCCTCCCCACCCCCAGTGCCTCCTGCCTTCTGCCGACCAGTGAGGAGGGGGTGAGGGGGAAGAGCTGATTGACCAGACCCACCAGTGAGTGCTAAGCATCTCAGTTTTTTTCCATTTGTACTCCAGTCCTAGAGCACCCACAGAGTTGGTGCCTATGCTTTGCTCATCCACCTACAAAATCTCAGCTTCTGTAAAAGCTTGCAAGAAAAGTGGTCTTGGAATGTACCCACAATATTTACAAATTCAGCTCTGGTGGCCTAAGAAAGTGATTGTTCTGTTCTTAGTGGTATTAGTGCCTCGCCTCTTCCCCTTCCCCTCCCAAAAAAAACCCCACATGTGAGCATGAACTTTTTTCTTTAAAAATGACATTTAAAACATTAAAATTCAAATCTCTTGTTGGTGTGAATTTTTATAACAGGATTTAAGGTTCAGTACTTCTTGTATTGAAAACTTATTGATGCAATCTTGATTTAAAGAGACATAAATAATGCCACTATTCTGTTACTATTATCACAGGTATTTGCTAGCCTTTGCCTCCTTCCTGCAAGAGCATCTTTGTGCTGAATATATTTTTGTCATTTACTTTTGTTCTTCCTTCTAGTGTATGTAATAATATCGGTTTTCTGCTTGGCATCTGCAATGAGTTTATACAACTGTCTTTCTGCACTCATTAGAAAAATATCATGTGGGCAGTGCAGGTATTGTACATCTCATTTACCTTGTGGTTTATTTGTTTTGGATATTTTTCTGTAGCTACTTGTCTGCTAGGAGGAGATGTAGTAATGGTTTGAGTAACTAACGGTGGTGTCCAAACAATTCTGAAGCAGCAGCCACTGTAGTGGCTACTGCTATAATGAACTAGCCACACTCAAGTGGCCAAATAGCCACGTGTGGCTAGTGTGTCGGACACCATGGTACCATAGCTTTAAGCGTGCAGCTGCTTATGTATTCAGTATTTTAGATTTATCAGAAAGCCAGGGTGCCTACAGGGAGAGATGGGGCTCTTCAAAACAACTTTTAAAATGCACAACTTAAAGTGGTCCCTGAGTAGTCCTTACTCACTTGATTATGACTATTGTATGAGCAAGGAATATTAGCATATAGAAATGTGAGCTCCTGCAACAGTGAACTGTTGAGAACTTTGCAGTGTGATTTCAAAATTAATAAAACTGAACTCTGTTGGAGCAAGTGGGCAAAGTGAGTTTCAAAATACAGGCAGTCCCCGAGTTACGTGGATCCGACTTACGTCGGATCCCTACATACAAACGGGGCTTTTCTCGCCACGGAG